CATGAAGCTGGAAAGGGTTACAAAAGTATCTCCAAAAGCCTTGATGTTCATGTGTCCACGGTAAGACAGACTGTCTACAAATGGAGAAAGTTTAGCACTGTTGCTACTCTCCCTAGACGTGGTCGTCCTGTAAAAATGACTGCAAGAGCACAGCGCAGAATGCTGCATGAGGTAAAGAAGAATCCCAGAGTGTCAGCTAAAGACCTACAGAAATCTCTGGCACATGCTAACATTTTTGTTGACACATCTACAATAAGGAAAACATTAAACAAGAATGGAGTACATGGGAGGACACCACGGAGGAAGCCATTGCTGTCCAAAAAGAATATTGCAGCACGTTTGAAGTTTGCAAAAGAGCACCTGGATGTTCCACAGCACTACTGGCAAAATATACTGTGGACAGATGAAACCAAGATTGAGTTGTTTGGGAAGAACACACAACACTATGTGTGGAGAAACAAAGGCACAGCACACCAACATCAAATCCTCATCCCCACTGTGAAACATGGCGGAGGGAGCATCATGGTTTGGGGCTGCTTTGCTGCCTCAGGGCCTGGACTGATTGTTGTCATTGATGGGAAAATGAATTCCAGAGTTTATCAAGACATTTTGCAGGAAAACGTACGACCATCTGTCCGCCAACTGAAGCCCCGCAGAGGATGGGTGATGCAACAGGACAATGACCCAAAGCATACAAGTAATTCAACAAAACAATGGCTGCAACAGCACAGAATACGCCTTCTGGAGTGGCCCAGTCAGAGTCCTGACCTCAACCCGATTGAAATGCTGTGGCATGACCTTAAGAGAGAGATTCACACACCAGACATCCCAAGAATATTGCTACACTGAAACAGTTTTGTGAAGAGGAGTGGTCCAAAATGACTCCAGATCGTTGTGCAGGTCTGATCTGCGACTACAGGAAACTTGGTTGAGGTTATTGCTGCCAAAGGAGGGTCAACCAGTTATTAAGTCCAAAGGTTCACATACTTTTTCCTCCCTGCACTGTGAATGTTTACATGTTATGTGCAATTAAACCATGGCAACATCTAATGTTTGTGTAGTATTATGTTCAGCAGACTGTGTTCTTCTATTGTTGTGACTTAGATGACGTTCAGAGCACATTTTATGCCCAATTCATGCAAAACTCCACGTAATCCCAAGGGGTTCACATACTTTTTCTTGCAACTGTATATCACCATATATTAAAGTGTACAAAAATAAATAAATATTAAAGTGTCCAAATCAATTTATCTTCTGTGACTTCATAACACTGTGAAAATCCACCAGCAATAGCGCTTGTGCTCTGGGAGCGATGAATAAATGGTGTCCAGATAACAGATGTAATAGTATTGAATCACTTCCAGGTAAGTACTAGTAACCAGCATGAGGAATAGTATATCTCTACCAAGGCAAATACTCTGCAGCCAAGGGTCTCATGGTAAATCTCTCCACTTGAGATCACACCTCCGTATATCCATACAGCACATTCAGGGACAAAAAAGAGAACATAATGGTGCAGTACGTTTTAAAACTATTTATATATTTAATATTTCTCAAAAGACTCACAAACAAGGTGCCCAGACAGACACCAGCTTGTGTTATGAAGTCACAGAAGATAAATTGATTTGGACACTTTAATATTTATTTATTTTTGGACACTTTAATATATGGTGATATACACATGTGGATATATATATATATAATTTTTTGTTTTTAGCGCATACTCCTTTGATATGTTTGTTCACTTTGCCAAATTAATTAATTGATTGCTACACATATATAATTTTTTTGGTGGGAGTTGCTGCTGATATATAATTTGTTGATTTTTGCTGGCGCTTTTCCTTTCTTTATATACTCTTTGAAAACTGACTGTGAAAAAAATCCTCATAAATTTATTGGCAATTTTCTGACAAAGCTTGAACCCAAATCCGCTCGGACTTCAGTCCCTTTTATTCCCTTTAGTGAATGATAACACAAACACATAGTAGAATGGAGTCCTCGTGTCGCTAACGGCTAAAATGTAACATTGTCTTAGCGGGGAACCTCACTAAATACAACTTCCCACTGCGCCAACTGACCGCCCATTGCAAGACCAAAGAATTATCTTGTTACATAAGTAGCTGGAGGGAGACGACGACGGCTCTTTCATGGACATAAAACCACAATAAACCTTGTTTATTTTTGTTCTCTTTGGCGAACGCCTACCGCTTAAACGCCTTTTGAATTTTCCTTTTTTAAAAAAAAAAAAAGAAAGAAACACCAAATTAACTAGTTAGTACAGTGGCTGACCACTTAACGCGTCACATCACGGCGCATTATCGCCACTGGTTTAAAGACTTAATTTGTTTCTGCCAAGGACGCAACACAAAAGGGGGGGGGAAAAAGTGTCCCATGCCAACATTTTTTAAATGAAGGTTAATGCTTTCTTTTATTTGATTGAAAAACAAGCAGTTTATTTTTTCTGACGGAGCGAAAGGAAATAAAGGGACCGCGGGGGACTTGGCTGTACTTTGCATTGTGTACCTGCCGACCCCCCCTGGTACACAAAGCCATTTTTAAAGGGACTAAGTGGGCGTATTTATTTCTGGCCTCCGAAGGTTTGACAAGGAAGGATTCAACAACAATTAGCACCAAGTGGACCATAATAGTTTATGCCGCCGCCATTGCCGCTGCAGCATGTTTTGAAGATTAATCCTTGCTTAGCGTCAGTTGTTCTGCTAAACAGAAAAAATTGACGTAAAATGTTGCAATTATGTTCAAACTTTAATGCGTTCCTTGAAAACTGGCATGCCCAAGAGCCGATCGGGAAAATCTATTAACGTATCTCGATTTTATAACCGAGGATGTAAATGTTGCAATTATGTTCAAACTTTAATGCATTCCTTGAAATCTAATGCTGCGCCCAAGAGCCGATTGAGAAAATCTATTAGCAAATCTCATATTTTTTTAGTAGCTTTTTGTTTCAATTTTGTTTCAATTTCTGTAGAAAAATTGAGCCAATTTGTATGTGAACCGATGTACACTTCCTCTGGGCGATCTGTGTGATTATTACTCCATGTCTAAGCTAGGATAGGCGAAATGAACGTAACATTTAATGAACACATGAGGGTCTGAGTGTCACCTTCCACATGTCGGGATTTATATCTCTTGTCAGTAAAGGGGGCAGAAATTTAAGTGTATTCCATAAACGGAAAGTCTATATCAGGGGCGGACTGACAACTCATGGGGCCCCCGGGCAATAGCGGATCATGGGGCCCCTGTGTCCTTGCCCAAAACTAAAAAAAGCCTATGAAAAAGGTACCAGGGGCATCTCATGGGGCCCCCCTACTGATACCGGGCCCTCGGGCAGTGCCCGAGTTTCCAAATGGTCAGTCCGCCCCTGGTCTATATATAAAAAGAGGGCTAGTGGTTTATTTTCAGCTGTGTAAGTGTCTGGAGCAGGGGCGGACTGACCATTTGGAAAGTCGGGTTAGTAGGGGGCCCCATGAGATGCCTCTGGTACCTTTTTCATAGGCTTTTGGGCTTTAGGTTTGGGCAAGGACACAGGGGCCCCATGATCCCCTATTTCCGGGGGGCCCCATGAGTTGTCAGTCCGCCCCTGGTCTGGAGTACTAAAGTCTATAGGAAAAAATTTATTTATGTATAACAGATGTAGCACCCCACCCCCCTGACACCCCAAAAGCAGGATTTCACTTCCAAGGTCAGGGGTGTGGGGCAGAGGCGTCCCTAGGGTTGGTGTCACCCGGTGCGGTAACACTTGGTGACACCCCCTCTAACGATCCCCGCAGAATGGATCGGAGTCCATCCTGCGGAGATCGTCGGCTTTCTTTACAGAGAGAAAAAAGAAAAGTGCGCCAGACTAACAACTTACCTTTTTTTGGAGTGGGTCCGGTGTCACCCCGTATAGGTTGCATGCCGATCCATTATGCTCAATCCACAGATCGGATCCATCCTGCGGGGATCGTCGGCTTGCTTTACAACTTACCTTTTCGTGGAGCGGTTCCGGTGTCCCCCCGTATAGGTTGCATGCCAAAATCAGGGGTGTGGGGCAGAGGCGTCCCTAGGGTTGGTGTCATCTGTTGCGGTAACACTTGGTGACACCCTCTCCGACGATCCCCGCAGAATGGATCGGATCTGCGGATTGAGCATAATGCATCTGACTCCAATCCATTATGCTCAATCCGCAGATCCGATCCATCCTGCGGGGATCGTCGGCTTTCTTTACAACTTACCTTTTTTTGGAGCGGGTCCGGTGTCACCCCGTATAGGTTGCATGCCGATCCATTATGCTCAATCTGCAGATCCGATCCATCCTGCGGGGGGGTTGTCGACTTTCTTTACAACTTACCTTTTTGGGGAGAGGGTCCGGTGTCACCCCGTGCAGTCGATGTCACTCCCCGCACCTGCCTCGGGACGCCACTGGTTGTAGGGTGACTTTAGGGCCATGGCTAAAACAGCATCATCTAGGTTCTCATGCACACTTGACATTTTTACAGCGGCTGTTTTTGGCTTTTGATGTTTTTTTCTACAGCCAGTAAACCCCCCCAGCGTGTTATCCTATGTGTCCATCCCCAGCGTGTTATCCTATGTGTCCATCCCCAGCATGTTATCCTATGTGTCCATCCCCAGCATGTTATCCTATGCGTCCATCCCCAGCATGTTATCCTATGTGTCCATCCCCGGCGTGTTATCTTATGTGTCCATCCCCGGCGTCTTATCCTATGTGTCCATCCCCAGCGTGTTATCATATGTCTCCATCCCCAGCATGTTATCCTATGTGTCCATCCCCGGCATGTTATCCTACGTGTCCATCCCCGGCATGTTATCCTACGTGTCCATCCCCGGCATGTTATCCTGTGTGTCCATCCCCAGCGTGTTATCCTATGTGTCCATCCCCAGCATGTTATCCTATGTGTCCATCCCCAGCATGTTATCCTATGCGTCCATCCCCAGCATGTTATCTTATGTGTCCATCCCCGGCGTGTTATCTTATGTGTCCATCCCCAGCATGTTATCCCATGTGTCCATCCCCAGCATGTAATCCTATGTGTCCATCCCCGGCATGTTATCCTACGTGTCCATCCCCGGCATGTTATCCTACGTGTCCATCCCCGGCATGTTATCCTGTGTGTCCATCCCCTGCATGTTATCCTACGTGTCCATCCCCGGCATGTTATCCTACGTGTCCATCCCCAGCATGTTATCCTATGTGTCCATCCCCGGCATGTTATCCTATGTGTCCATCCCCAGCATGTTATCCTATGTGTCCATCCCCAGCATGTTATCCTACGTGTCCATCCCTGGCGTGTTATCCTATGTGTCCATCACCAGCATGTTATCCTATGTGTCCATCCCCAGCATGTAATCCTACGTGTCCATCCCCGGCATGTTATCCTATGTGTCCATCCCCCAGCATGTTATCCTATGTGTCCATCCCCAGCATGTTCTCCTATGTGTCCATCCCCGGCGTGTTATCTTATGTGTCCATCCCCGGCATGTTATCCTATGTGTCCATCCCCGGCATGTTATCCTATGTGTCCATCCCTGGCGTGTTATCCTATGTGTCCATCCCCGGCGTGCTATCCTATGTGTCCATCCCCAGCGTGTTATCCTATGTGTCCATCCCCGGCATGTTATCCTATGTGTCCATCCCCGGCATGTTATCCTACGTGTCCATCCCCGGCATGTTATCCTACGTGTCCATCCCCGGTATGTTATCCTATGTGTCCATCCCCGGCGTGTTATCCTATGTGTCCATCCCCGGCATGTTATCCTACGTGTCCATCCCCGGCATGTTATCCTATGTGTCTATCCCCGGCGTGTTATCCTATGTGTCCATCCCCGGCATGTTATCCTACGTGTCCATCCCCAGCATGTTATCCTATGTGTCCATCCCCGGCATGTTATCCTATGTGTCCATCCCCGGCGTGTTATCCTATGTGTCCATCCCCAGCATGTTCTCCTATGTGTCCATCCCCAGCATGTTATCCTACGTGTCCATCACCAGCATGTTATCTTATGTGTCCATCCCCAGCATGTTATCCCATGTGTCCATCCCCAGCATGTTATCCTATGTGTCCATCCCCAGCATGTTATCCTACGTGTCCATACACACATAGACTAATCAGCGTTTTTTGGCTGGAGAAAAAATGCTCTAACGCTGAAAAAAAGCAGCAAAATGCGGTAAAATGATGCAAAACGATGTTTTTGGACTTTTTTTTGAACAAGAAACAATTTTTTGGGGGTAAAAAAATGCTAAAAAACGCAAACGTGGAAAAACGCCACTAAAAGCGTCAAAACGACACTAAACGCTAATGCAAAAGAACTAAAAAAAAACTCACATTTTTTAACGTGACTTTTCACAGCTAATGTTACCAGCGTTATCAAAATGCCCCGTGTACATGGGGACTATTTATTGGCTGTGAGGTAAGTACAGCATGAATACTCTAACGCGTTTTGGCAGTCAGGCCTTAAAGTGGATGGATGTAAAAGCTCACAGTTTTTCACCTTCATGTATACTACGTATGAAGGTAAAAACAACTTCTGTGCAGCAGCCCCCCCAGACCCTGCAGCCCCCCTAAGCCTTGGTTCACATCTGTGTGGGTGATGCCGCTATGGGACCTGCACAAATAGCAGCCGCAACCACCCCCAAAGAGAAATGTGGGACCCGTGGGTGGGTTCCCATGCGGTCTGTGATTTAAACAATAATGCAGGGGCTTCCTTCTTGTCCCGCAAATCGTGGCCCACATGGCGGCACAAGTGTGAACCTAGCCTACTACTTACCATCGCGATCCAGCAGAGGCTCTACTGGGTCTTTCCCTCCTCATTGGCTGAGACAGCAGCAGGAGCCATTGGCTCCCACTACTGTCAATCACATGGTCATTGTGAACCTAGCCTAATACTTACCACCGCAATCCAGCAGAGGCTCTACTGGGTCTTTCCCTCCTCATTGGCTGAGACAGCAGCAGGAGCCATTGGCTCCCACTACTGTCAATCACATGGTCATTGTGAACCTAGCCTACTACTTACCATCGCGATCCAGCAGAGGCTCTACTGGGTCTTTCCCTCCTCATTGGCTGAGACAGCAGCGGGAGCCATTGGCTCCCACTACTGTCAATCACATGGTCTTTGTGAACCTAGCCTAATACTTACCATCGCAATCCAGCAGAGGCTCTACTGGGGTCTTTCCCTCCTCATTGGCTGAGACAGCATCAGGAGCCATTGGCTCCCACTAATGTCAATCACAGCCAGTGAGCCACTAAGGAGAGAGCGGGGGCTGGGCCAAGCCGTGCTCCATGTGTGAATGGACACACAGAGCAGTGGCTCGGGTGTGAGCCTTCTCAGGGGCCCGTGCCAGGCCTAACCAGGACAGGGGCTTTTGGAGGGAACTGCAGGGTTGCCTCTCATCTACTTACCATGGCCCTGGCATTTGAGGGGGCTCTGTTCTTTGGTGTCTGCCTGGGGGGACCTTTGGAGAAGTTTACTTTGGATTCAAGTCTATGTCAAAACACACAGACTGTGAGAACTGGAGGACCAGAATACAGATTTGGGGTCTCTGTGCCCAAACCAGTATTGACTGCTCCAAAGGTCCCCCCAGGCACACATCAAAGAATAGAGCCCCCTCAGATGCCAGGGCCATGGTCAGTAGGCAAGAGGTCAGCCTGCAGTCCCCTCCAAAAGCCCCTGTCCCGGTTGGGTCTGTCACATTAATGAGATGGAATGCCTGTTACCCAGATTAGGTGATTCTGTCAGAGAACCGCTTCCTCGCCATTGGGACACAGGACCCCATAGCAAGCAGCTAGCTATAGGGGCACTCAGCAGGAGGGAGAGGCCAGGAGAAGAGCAGGACGGGGCCACTCTGTGGAAAACTATTATTACAAAAAAAATCTACCTTTAATATCACTTTAATCATAGCATGTTTACTCTGGGCGTACATTCCAGCTATAGACTACCTGGTTAATATTAGGATTGGATTTACTGATCTATAAAATCCCAAGACATAACTACAGTAGTCATGTGATCAGCCGATCCTTTCTGCCCCAGGCGTAAAGACCTTGTTTAAAGGGATGCAGAGGCTTGGTGGGAAGGGGTTAAAATAAAACTATGAATTAAAGAAAATATTTGCTTTCGTATATTATTATACGTGCATCTGCACCAAAGGTTTTCACTTAGTCCCACAAAATACCTGTAGATCTAGCCTAATGCAGCTTCCTGTGATGGGGTGACAACGATGCTGCACTACTTCAGAATTCAGAGCAGAGTTGCCACCAGGGGCGGACTGACAACTCATGGGGCCGCCGGGCAATAGGGTATCATGGGGCCCCTGTGTCCTTGCCCAAACTCAAAAAAGCCTATGAAAAAGGTACCAGGGGGATCTCATGGGGCCCCCTCCTGACCCCGGGCCCTAGGGCAGTGCCCGAGTTTCCAAATGGTCAGTCCGCCCCCTGGTTGCCACTCTCATGTATGTAGGCAGGTAGAGGACAGGATAGGCCCCTTTAAAGGTTACTCCTCCTACATTGAGGATTCTGGGAGTCCCAATATAGTCAAGATCAGTGTTTCTCAACCTTTTTTCAGTCAAGGCATACTTTATAATTTTGGACAGTCCCGAGGCACCCTTTAAAATTATGGCGAGTCTTAAGGCACCCCATTCTAAAATGTGAAAAACTATTCTAATCGTTTTATATAACGCAGCAAACATCCACACATGTAGGACACCCAACATTAAAGGTGATTTATTCTTCCAAAGCAAATACATTTTTGCACATTGGTACTGACTAGTGTTCCCATGTTTCTCTTCTCCATTAGTTTTTCTCCATCACTGAGCTAATGTGACCCAGCATTGACAGAGAGGGGCTGGGGAGGGTCAAACTAGGATGCTGTGCAGGCATCTGACATCCTCCTTATCAATTGATGATGTCATTGGTTGTCAGGACGCTGGTGGCTAGAAGCTCATATAGGCGCACAATGAAAACCTGTGGCTTTGTGTAACTAAAAGGCAGGCTTGTTCCATTCGCTGGCTTGTGTACAAGTCTTGGGCAATTTTTAGACATTTTGTCAAGACACCCCTGCAGAAACCTCAAGGCACCCCAGGGTTCCTGGGCACCCTGGTTGAGAGAGGCTGGTTTAGAGGGGGAAGAGAGAAGTTAAGAGAGGTTTGGAGAGAGAAGCAGACAAAGCTGCTGTCTGGAGGTTCTCTTTTCTGGAGTCCTGCGGGATAAGATAGCGCTCCAATACATCTTTAGAAAGGGAAGAGGTGACAAGGACTTTGTTCCACCTTGGTTTAGAGAAGATCATTCTTGATCGCAATGGATGGGAAATGTGAAGGCCAATTAATTCAGCCAAATTTGAGCAGCGAGTATCTCCTAGTCTGGAAGTTATATATAAAGCACTGACCCCAAGCTGGTCCTGTTTGTGTCAGGTTCTCTCCCCTATAGGGTGCACAGCAGCCAGGCACACAGCAGTCCCTCAGTCTCTCAACCCAATAATAATGATGGGCTGAACACCCCCCTGTTCAAACATTCAAACCTAACAAAAGTTTGACGGTGAACTTAGGACCCAGGACACAATTCACTAAGCAGTATCTTACCACATCAGGGTAAGAAGTAATATATAACACATTTAAAAAAAAAAATGGCATTCACTAAAAGTGCTACTAAAATACGTCAAGAGTTATTTTATGAGGCCATGTGGTATTTTAGTAGTGAAAACCATGCAGTAATGTATCAGCTAGTAGCGGAGTTCCCTGCTGACAGCTGAATTAAAAAAATAATAATTTGGCAATTGAAAGAAAAATCATCCCCCCATACCAAGCCCTTCGGGTCTGGTATGTGTTTTGAGGGGAAACCCCACACCAAAATTTAAAAAAAAATGGCGTGGGTCCCCCCCCCCCCCCAAATCCATATCAGACCCTTATCTGAGCATGCAGCCCAGCAGGTCAGGAAATGGGGGGACAAGAGAGCACCCCCCCCCTCCTGAACCATACCAGGTCATATGCCCTCAACATGAGGGGGTGCTTTGGGGCAGGGGGGCTCCCCCCAAAGCACCTTGTCCCCATGTGTATGGGGATAAGGGCCTCTTTCCCACAACTGTGTCCAGTGGCTGTGGGGGTCTGCAGGTGGGGGCTTATTGGAATCTGGAAGCCCCCTTTAACAAGGGGTCCCCCAGATCCCGCTTCCCCCATGTGAATGAGTATGGGGTACATGGTAACGCTACGCATTCACAAAAAAATAAGTGTAGTGCAAAAAAATCACAGTAGACAGTCTTTGACAAGTCCTTTATTAAAACAACGATGAAAAATGGCCCCCAAAGTAGATCCAATTACGATACCCGCAGCCTCCACCAACCCGAAAAAAGAAAAAAAAAAAAGGCACCGCTCTCGACGCTGGCTCCTGCTGTCTGACAGTTCTTAAATATATAAGGGGCATGGCCACCTAGTGATGTCATCGGGTTACCCCGCTCCCTTGTGACATCATTGACCTGGGAATGCTGGTTGTGCTGTGATTGGCCAAAGCATTGCACCTGACTGGCAGTCAGCTGCACTTCTTTGGCCAATCACAATGCACTATGAGAGCGCAGTGCATTGTGGGACACAGCGAGCGAACATCCCACTGCATGCCTTTACTGTTCGTGTGTTCACTGAACACATAAACAGCCAGTGTTCGAGTCGAACATCAAGCCCATCACTGATCAATAGCCAGGCAGACATTTCCCTTTTTGGGTCTGTTGGTTGAATA